TGAACCTGAGATATTTTACAGATACTCAGCCTTAGTTTACATCAATTAACCCAACAGGAGGAGACAGACGTTGAGTTTCCTTACAGAGTGGCAAAGGTCTGACAGGAGGCCATAGCCACTTTTTAATACATTATTCACACTTTATATGTCTGCTATAAACCCTTCTATTCTTTTTCAAAACAAATAGTCTCAGCCTGTCTCTGCCCCCAGTGGGAACTGCTAAAATCCTGGCTTGCTTAAAATCCATAGAAGTTATGCCACTGAATTTAAGCCAGGTCAGGATGTTGCTCTCATTTTTTGGATTATTTTAGCTAATTACTTAACTTCTCTCTGTGTCCTGGATTATACAGACCACTCAGGTGAACACTTATTGTTCCTTTAAGTGAGGTAGTTAACTATGTCCTTATTTTTTCTCTCTTTCTAACAAATCAGTGATTCATTTGCTCTCTGCCAACAGAGCAGTGAGCAGCATCACCTCACTCTCTCTGCGCCCTGATTTGGAGTATGTTGCATGTTATGAGCGCGTGGAATTGGATTAAAAGCTACAGCGTGGTGCTCTGCAGATAAACCCACTGCAGGTGTGCAGTTTAATAGGATTTTAATTTGGTAACAAGCGAACAAAGAGCAAAAGCCCAGAATGGGCTTTTCTCGAAGAAAAAATGCTATTCGTGCTGAGAGAAAGCAACTGCAAGCTCTGTGATAAGAAATAAAGATGGGGCCAATGCTCTCTGAGCTGCACTTTTACAGATTACAGCTCACTCAGAGCATCTTCATTACTGCCACTTGTCTCAACAGTTCTTAGTTCATACCATGTGCGTTTGGCTATGTAGCATTTCATCTGTCACGCTCCCCATCAAGCCAGTGCGTTCAAATCTTGTACTGTCTCACTCCCCGCCCTCTATGTTTTTTCATATAAAAATAATGTTTTCCTCAGGAGACTTTCACCAACTCGGAATGTATCTGTTTTCAAGATTATTAACAATTATTTTCATGCTTCAAATGATATTAAAAAACAAACAAACAAACAAACAAAAAGCCGTCCAGAAATGTCCTGTGCTGTTCAAAATAAATGTAAAAACATGGTCTTTCTGATGAGGAGTATAATTTATATTCAGCATGAACTAGGAGTGAAGGACTAAAAACAGATGGGGAAGGAAGAGGAAGAATGAAGGTGACAACTAAAAGATGGCGAAGGGATCTGCTAAGCCACAGACACATATTGATACTGCTAGTATCAGGGCAAGGTTGGGAGATTCTTTTCAGATTTCTGTTACCAGTCCTCCCTCTTGTTTTTTCAGGGTTTCATAAAAAACCCCTGAAGTTTTAGCATTAATTTCAATGAGATGAGGGTGGAGGTGCGATGAACAGATTTTTTTTTCCAAGCATAACAGGCTGTAGAGAAGGCACAGAAATGCCTTGTGGGACAAGATGAAAAAGACACGGAGGCTGGTGTTGCTGGCAGAGGACGAAATGGAGGATGGGAACTGACGAAAGACGCTGGGTCGCAGAGAGCTGCAGAGGCTGCATGAGGCAAAGGACTTAAAAGGAAAAAATTATGAAATATACCCGTGATGCACACAGGGATCTGTCAGGCAGCAGAAATGCTGTCCAGGAAACAGCAGCTTGGCTGGTGGATGCCACGAAGGCTGCTGAGGGTTTAGATACCCTGCAGAACGGGTTGTGGCTGAACGGGGGATTAGTCAGGAGCAGAGACAGATGGTTGCTTGGGAGCATGATGATGATTTTTGGTGATCGAAAGTCACAGAACACAAATCCTCATGCAGTGGCAATCTATTCAGAGGATCTACAGAGATGGTGATACAAAGTGGTGGGTGATGGAGATGCTTTTGGTAGCTGTGATTTTCAGCACCCTTTGGAATTAATATTGATACCCGAAAAGCCTGCAGTGGTTGAGGTAGGAGCAACCACCCATTTGAAAGACACAAGTAGGCAGAAGTGCTCACTCACTCTGTCACAGCTCCTGGAACCCTTTTTAGCTGTAGGTTTGAGTTTTACATCTCCCTCACAAACTTCAAACACTTGAGCCAGCATCGGCAGGCTCTTACAAGAATCTCTTTTTCATCCCACTACTGTAGGCATCTTGCAAGTGGACTGGAAGAATCCATCACCTGTTGGGATCTTGCATGTGGACTGGAAGAATCCATCAACTGTTGGGATCCTTAACCTCTAAATTCTTTCTACACTTTTGCAGTCCTTCACTGTCTCCTTTCCTCCTCCATAACTTCTCTCAAGTCATCATACTCCCCATTTCATGTTTGATATTCTTCTTCTCTGACACCCCTCACCCCTCACTCTAATCAGTTCTTGAGATCCTGTATGAAATATGGAGATCTGATAGATGGATTTGTAGGCACATCACTTAGACAAAACCTGGGTCAAACCCTTGTCTGCTGACACCTGCATAAGAGCACTGCAATGGGCGTTGTGGGCCATGCAAAAGCCATCATGGGCACCAAAGAGAAAGCAGGGCAGATACTGAATAAGATTTCTACTAGTTTATCTCCTAATTTCAGACTATCAGTGATGTAGAGATTTCTTGCTTGTAGCCCGTACCCAGCTCCATTTGGTTTTGACATTAGGTGGTATGGCAAGATGGTCCATTATATTACCTGTGAAAACTGACAAAAGCTGTCAAATATGCCCACTACATGTATAAATCATTCTTGGTTTGCCCCCTTTGTGCTTCCATTTCCCCCTCTGATTTTCATTGCTGAGCTAGTTTTAGCAGATCTTATATTTAAAAACCAAAGGTCCATAAAGGGTCTTTATAACTAATAAAGATTTTTTTATGGAAGCTGAATACATCTTGGGAGTAAAATAACTATAGGAGGATCACCCCAAAAATGTAATTCTCTTTGTGAGTCTCTGTGCCATTAACATTTGTCCAGTACTGTTTTCTGGAAAGCACAATGTTCTGTGAGATTTAAGACAAATGCTGTTACTGCACAGAAGAGACATCTGAGAAGGGCTGAGTGTCTGATTCACTTGTACTAAGCACAGAGGCTTGATCTGTGTTTCCTTATATTTAGCCTTGTATCTTAGGAAGACTTAGAGCCTATCTAGTATATCATCCCTTTGTGCTTGTAAGTTTGAAGCAGTGGACTGACAGCAAGAAAGTCTGATGGAGCAGAAAGGTCTCAAGGATTTAATACTTCTGCATCTTTTGATAAAACTAAGAGACAGGTGGAGGTAAGGAACCTCTTGGTGCTTCCAACAGTGAGAAAAGACCATGCCATGCACTCTGTCTTCATGCAGCCCAAGTGTCAGCTAGCACACAGGCTGCTCCCAACCTGCCAGAACAGCACTGCTCTTGCTCAGACAATGCTTAGGGAACCTGGAGGAGTGCTGAAGGTCTGCTGGAAACCTCAGGAAAGAACCAGAGAAGTGCAGTGATGGGGTGGTGGGTAGTGTGGAGATTATGATCCCCTGATAGGATCATGGAGTGGTGGCAGGATGTGGAGAACGCTTTGTGGTGTGAGGTCTGGGTGATACTGGACACAGCTCCATGCAAACCTGAATACCTTTAGTTGTACTTTACACACATAACCCCCCCCCAAACAACCACACCCAACCCGATCCTTCTTGATTTACCCAATCTATAATTATTTTTATCTTTTAAAATTTTCACAGAAGTTAATGTTTATTTCACCTTGCTGTCTGTGGCTGTATCCACTGAACAACTCAGAACTCTGGAAAAATGTTGTTTAATCTGAAGTTGCTCTGGCTCTGCATCAAAGTTATGAGGGCTGTCTGTTGAATATTGTCTTGAGGTTGTTCCTCTGCAAAATAGCTCCAGAGATGTCTGGGTTCATAAATCCACAGAAAACGGGACTCATTTTGCTTTGTGACCTGGAAACTTTCGTCTCCCTCCTCCTCGATATAGGACAGGAAAATGTGGGCCACAAAATCCATGAGCAGCAAATTAAACAAATGCCAGGATCCTAGGTTTAAAGGAAAACAAAATTAATTTTAACAACCTCTTTGTTTGCTTATCTTCATGATGTGCTCTTTTTTGAAGGGCTTCATTACAGTAATGTGGTATACAAAGTAGCAGACTAGCACTCATCAAATAGTACTTTAAAAACTATGTAATTCCAGCTATCACAGCAAAATAGGCACCAACTGCAATTTTTAAATGTAAGCAAAAGACTTTTCCTCTTATGTATGCTAGAAAGGAAAGTGTACTTGTGTTTATTTGCTCTCTTGTTCAAATACTTCCCCCACATGCACTGTTACTACAAGGTTTATCAACAATCACATATCATCCACATTCTCCCCTTGGACAGATAAATCATTCCACCTCTTCCCAAGCAAACCCTCCTACAGCTGTCTGTCTGTCTCGTATCTGTGATATTAAATGGCCTACCTTCCAGCTTGGGGCATAACTGCTAAGAGCCAAGAGAGACTCATTGAGGCCATTGACTTTTGACTCATACAGTAGTTGAAAGCCCTTACAGTAAGGAGCAGGTCTTCTTCCATGCCATAGATCTGCATAGGAATTCAGCAAGCAATTCATAACCTCTGCTTCACACAAACATGTTTACATGGGCACCAACAAGAAGACACCACAATTTATATGAATGACCAAGGTTGACAGAGCTTTAAAAATGAAAAAATGCTTCCTCTTTTGATGGTAGTTATGCCAGAGAAGCTGCTGCTTCTGCTGTTTGTCCATTTTTGCATCTTTAAATGACAGCAAAGTAAGTGGAAGGACTTGTTTATCTATGAGACAAGGAAAGGGACTGCTATACTTAGAGTTCAAACTATACAGACCTGACACTAGAAGCTCATGAGTGCTTCTGACAGTTTTAGGCATATTTTCAATACATTCAAAAAGCATTAGCATGAAACAAAAGCTACCACTCTAGTTGTTCCCTGGGATAACACAGAGGCACACGGTGTTGAAGAGGGAGTAGGTGGAAGCAGCTTGCTTTCAAAAGAGGAATGGACAGGTCACTGTGCAGGCAGCGTGGCTCAGCAGCACCTCCCTGCATGCCTCAGAAGGGAGGCCGGCGAGGAAGCGGAGATGTACCAGCTGATGGGAGGCTCTGTGGTGGAGATATATAGAGGAACATTTGCTGGAGAGGAGGTAGAGCTGAAAGAGCTGTAGAGGTCCTGTTGGCCCTCACTGCTGCAGCACAATTGCCCCTTCCTGCCTTGCAGTGGCAGTAACTGCACGGTTCCTCCAGTCACACTTGGGCATCAACCCATGTGAAGGCTGGACTGGAGAAGGGTAAAAGCCAATCCTAAATTCCGAGGTGTGAGTATGCCAGTATATTGGGTGTGCAGATGTGCCAGGCTCTAGGGAAGAGCCCCAGACAGAAGTGTTTTTTTTTTGTGGGGCAGGCACACTGCATTAACAAGATACACATTCACCTAAGTAACTGTGTTTTCCCAGTGTTTTGACATGTTTTGACTTGCAGGCTGTCCATCATTCCTGCAAGAAATACTGAGAGTTAAGGAATTTCTGAAAAGCAATGACCCCAGTACAAAACTTTTACACCAGACGGCTTGTTAACATAATGAGTTAAGCCTTGTCCCCTAAAACTCAAAACCTTACCAGATTGAAAACATGGGAAAGAAGGGACATTGTTAGGTCATATAGCCCAACATCTTAAAGAATGAATGGTATACATAAAGTGGGTAATAATGATCAAATTAATTGGAGAATCACAGAGAAAGATTAAAAGACATTTTAACTCTCATACATGAGAATAAATTCAATCTTAGTGTTACTGAAGTGTAGTAAGAAGACTGTCATAAGTGGGGATGAAAATATCATGTGTAACTGGTTTAAGGCAGGCTCAGCAGAGGAAGGGATGCCCTCCATCAGATGTGTCCCCAGCCACTGACAGAACAGGGAGGCAATTCATTAAGCTCCTCACAATAGAAAGAGGGAAGAGAATTTCATTAGAATAGGGAATTTCAAAAAACCTTGTGTTTCCAGTGCTGGTTTTGGAATTCATTCCTAATTTCCTCAATGTCCCAAATACTGCAGGTAACATTTGAGAGCTTTGTACAGAACTCCCTTGTAGAAGGAGAAAGGATTCATTATTTTATTATTATTGTAATGCAGCAGCTGATGGACAAGGGACTCTACTGTGCTGTGCTCCCTGCAGGCACAGAACAAAACTGTGACCCCTCTCCGGAGAGTTTGCAACCTAAATATAGGGCAAAAAGTAGCAGCTAGATGCAGAAAATGGGTGCTCACATACACGCACAAACACTGACGTTAGGGGGGAAGAATACTGAAGAATACAAAGGGCAACAACCTTAACATAGGCCTTTGTTATGTCTTTGTAGGAAACACATGAAAGTGTGGTTTTGAAGGGGAATTTCAAAGAAAATAATGAGGTTTTCTTTGGCTATTTGTGTGAAGCCCCATCCAACAGAAAAGGGAAAAAATCTGAAGGTGCTCCTTTGAAAATCTAAAAAGCAGTTCATACAGTTTGGGCTCAGATGCTACTCCCAGGAGCATTTCTGCTGAATCAATAATAGAGAGAGAGCACCTCTGAAAGGTTGTACAAATGAAGAGAAGGCAGGTAGGGTTGATGCAATATAGGTATGGAAGAGACTGAATTGATTCAAGGTGTGGTTGTACCACTTCGAGCCACTTCAGGTGAATGTGACTGCACATAACGTCCCTTTGCTTCTCCTGCCTTGCACTGATGTGGGGTGGATTTGATGTTTGACAGGTCAGAGCTCTGAAACTGAGAGAAAACTGACCCAGCCTAAGCAGCAACTAGTTTTCAGTCAGTTTAGTACCTTGAACAAGCCTGCTGCTGGCTAGGTAAGCACTTATCTCAGTGTAAAGCCTAAGTTAAAGGAGCTGTTGTCAGAAGAACTAACTGCCTTTTTGGCAAGTAGTTACCAGAGTGACTGTTCTGGCTGCACTACAGAGAAAGAACCTGAAGGACTGGGAGCTATCGCTTCAGAGATCTGGAGCTTATATGGTTTGGGAGACGAATGGCTCCGGGTCTCCACCACACCCTTCTGCTGGGGTTTGCAGCTCTTGTAGGGAGGGTAAGTAGAGGCTCATAGCTCAGGCTGCTCTTTCCCATCTTTCCAGAGACAAAAGATGGCTTCTGCACAAGGAGTCCTGCCCTTCCCACCATCTCCAGCTGCTTGCTCTTATTTTCCTTCCATCTGCTCATCCTTCAGTCTGGATCAGAAAACAGATTTGGTTGAAATCTAACCATTTTATTTCCCTGACCTGGCTAGCTACATCCCCAGGTGACTGGTGCTGCTTGTTGGAATGAAGGGAGTATGAAGGAGTGATGCCCCTACTGACTATAGCATGAATTTATGTCAGTTAAAATGACCTGGTATCTCTGCTGTCTCAGGACACAGAGGGGTGTACCAGCAGAGAGACACAAAGATCCTACTTACCAAAACTGTCTGCATATTTAAGGGTCATAGCCTTGCTTACTGCACTCAGTAGGAAGTTCCATCTCAACTGGAAATCTGATGCCACTTTTTTAAACTCCTCTTTACTCCTGCTTGGCTGCAGATAGAGAAAAAAAATTGCTTTATGATAAAGTTGGTTAAAAGAATTCCTTATTGTGTTGCAGACTATTTCCCTGTACCAACTCTATACACAGGTGGAACAAGCATTATTTTTTGTTATAATCCTAAAATAACTTAGGTTGAATGGGATCTTTGGACATCATCTAATCCAACTTCTTGTCCAAAGAATGGCCAAGTCCAGCCAAGTCCTGAATATTTCCAGGATGGAGATTCCACAGCTTTTCTGGGTAACTTCTTCTGATGCTTAACTGCTCTCATGGTAATTTTTTTTCTTTTTATCTATTAGGAATGTTATTTGCTACATCATGTGTATATAGCCCTATGCTCTACAACTGTGAACCCCCAGGAAAAGTTCTGCTTCATCCTCTCTGTACTACCCCATGAGTTAGCTGAGGGTTCTAGGAGGTGAAGGCACCACGGAACTGCAAAGTACCATTCTAAATTAAAAAGAGAGAAAAACAAGAAAAACAACAAAAAACCCCACAACAGAAACAAACAAACACAAAAAACAGAAAATCATTAAGCTAAAGAAGTACAGTTTAACCTTCTCCTTCAGAAAGGGAACAACAAACTTTAACCACTACCCAGACCCAAGTTAATTGGTCTAGTAACCAACGGAATGCAGCCATACCATCAAGCTACCACTAATTCTGAATCAGTGATGGAACGAGTGGTGGAGATGATAACCTGTGGAAAGGTGCATATGTGAGGATGATCATGCCTGAATATTTCACAAAAGCTAGAGACATTGTACTAGAAACTGTCACTCCCCTGCTCCCTGCTAAAAGTCAACAGTTTCTTGAATCAGCAGTTTCAGTAATCATGAAGTGCTCTCTTCATTTTTACTAACATTTTTCTTCTGAAATTTGGTTTATTAGCCACTATTAAAACATGTGTCTATGAAATGAGAGCAGATACTGAAACCACCCGAGTGGCTATATACACAGAAATGTGCTTGTAGTTGTTTTCCACAGATGGAATTTTTGTATGCCAATTAATTCCCCATTTTTCTGCAGCATGCATAAATTATATTTATGCAAATCTGCAGTCTGGTCAAGTTGTTGGTGTAGAGTGTAGCTCCTGCAGGCTAGTGACAGCATGCAGCAGGATAAATGATGTGATCACTCTTTCTCTTCTGAAATTATTAAATTAATTTTATACCTGAATGACAAAAGCCTGAAGATTTGAAGACACACAGTTCAAGAGAATCCGAATATCTGTGGAAGGTGTCAGCAAAGGCATTAAGTCATTCAAACCTATGAAATGTAGAAGGGACAACATTACTTGAAGTCATTGGATTGCCTTTTGGGTTGCTTCTGTGCTTTTTAGCTGTTTTATTTTCTTTTATCTTTTGCTAAAAATATATTAAGACATCTGTTTAGAGCATATTGATTAATATAATTATCTTCCTTCAGTGAGGAATAGCACTCTACTTTGAAATTAGTCAGAATTAACATTTATGTGCATTTCCACCATATCTGCACTGACCTAGTCATCATGGCAAAGGTGGCAAGAATAAACAGTCCCAATATGAAAGCTGGACTTTGGTTCTATGTGATACCAACAGAGATTTTAAAGGGTTGAGAAAAAAAAAATAAAATCTTGGTTTATCTGTTGAAGGGTAGAAAAATTTTAAAACAATAACAGAAAATGCAGAATATTCTGTATACCAACAGAAATATAGATAATATTGCCATATATCAGTGCAACTGTTCCCCTGAAAGATTGGAACCTACCACCCAGAGCCAAAAGATACATTACTATGGCACCTCTCTGAATTTATACACTTCTAACAGCTTCCTTCAAGAAGGCATGTGGATAGGGTCTTGGAAACCTTGCTTACTATAGATAACAGCTTGGAAAACCAATGAAAACAGAGGATGCAATGCACTCACCTTGGGAAGAGTAAAACCATCATTTAGTGAGCACACGCAAGAAGGGCATTCTATGCAGTGGTTTTGATTTTAAGATGTATATAAATATTATTTAAATGGCTCTTCTGCTAGTTCTGTGAAGAAGTCAGATTATTTTTCCTACTGAAAACGGTCACAGAAAGGCTGTGGCACATCCCTTGTCACTGAACAAATTGGTGGCAGACCAGGAACAAAGAGCTGAGGATTTCCCCATCAGTTCCGTGTGCAGCCCAGTCGAACTTGCCTCTCTCTTACTAATAATTTAAATGGCAGCCCATTCATCTAAAAATTAACTTGCCATTATGTTCCCATCCCTTTTCATTAAGCTGGCAAATGCATCATGTCATGGCTGCATACAAACTGCATATTTTATTGTTTGCAGCTGCACATCGATCCCACAGGTCACAATACAGTGAAAGGACACAAAAGCAGAAAGGCCAATAGTCCTTATCCAGATCGGCATTCAATATTTTAAAATCTGGCCACAAGAAATGATTTTGTGTACTTTTATTAATAACAGAGGAAAATGCAAAATGCAACTCTTGGGAAGTTCTTTTTTTTTTTTTTCTCTCTCAAAGAAAAAGGTAAGAAATATCCCTTTTATCAAATTTCTTCTAGAAGATGCATCATTCAGTAACACAAATCCCACTCCTGCTGCCACAGGAAGCTTTAGCAGAGAGTCAGAATGGAAAGCCTTTCATTCTTAACCTTTAAAGTTAAAAGGATAACATTACATGCTGCATTCTCATTTTTATTGGCTCTTTTCCAGTACTTCGGGTTACAGCTAGACTGCAATTCCCATTAGGGCAGATGCCATGAATAAACAAGAGGAAATGCTGGGGCTTTAAAAATGGCAAGCAAGGGCTTAAGTGGATAGACAAAATATAGCAAAAAAATATTACATTTGAGTTCAATGTTGTTCTGCAGCTCCTCCAGATTCCTAAACGTTGTTTGAAAGAGGTTTCCAGTCACATCCAGAAATCCCCGGTTGATGACAGCATGCAAGTCTGATCGCAGAACAGAGACTTTGCTGTTGCTGTTCAAGACTGTCCTCATTGTCTATACAGAATAAGAAAACAGTTAATGCCTTTCATTTTCTCAAGCCCTTAACTCAGTCCAAAAGCTTCCCTTATTCAATACTAGACTTTATGTAACCAGTCTCCAAATTGGGGGAAAAAAATAACTCAAAGGAGATCAATCTTAAGTTGTCCTCAAGAGTTTTTTTGTTCTGGGTGATACTCTTCTCAATGACACTCTGTTGTCTGCTATGGAGCAGACAAGGCTAACATGCTTGAAGTATCTGGGTGATTGTCTGGGCAATTGGTTTTGCCTAGAGTTACAGTTACACCAAATGATGATATTTTATCTAAAACATGGAATGCTGGATCAGGACTGGCTTTCCTTCAGTGTTACCTGTCCTTAGTACAGGTTTCAGTTAAATTCAAAGGCAAGTTTTCTCAAGTTGCCCAAACCTTTGAGAAGATAAAAAATAACATATGAAATACAGTGTTAGTTAAAATAATATTTGTTGGGATTTTATCCCATTTATCTGCTCACGAGTCATTTGTGAATGAATCTGGCTTTATATTTGTCCCAAAAAATATTGCTCATATAGGTATTGTGAACACTTTTCAGCCTGACATTTGATCCTCATCTCTTCACCTTTTTTTTTAATTTAATTGCTAATATCAAACAGTATTGCTTCATATTCTTGATGAAATTATGAAAATAGTAAGGAAAATGAAGCCTGAATACATTAAAATTTGTTAATCTGTACATTTAGTCTCTCAATTCCATACTGAAATCAGAAAGATCCTAAAGCTTTTGTTGAATTTTGGGCTTTTATATGAATAATTCACATCCAATTTTGCCTTCTAGAAGAAAAACAAGTTTTGTAAAGTTCAGAAGTCATAATCATTTTAACGAGTCCCATTCACCAGGTGCTTACCATGACCCCACAAACAGCAGTGAATACAGCTGCTTGAAAACTTAATTCCCAATCTGGCCATTTTTCTTTTTCATCATTCCACTGAAATACCAAAAGCACTCTGATTCTCACTCAGCAATCCCTTTTGGCTAAGTTGAAGACAAAGTCTTTTTTTGTGATTTTACTTGGAGTTACCTGTGTCAGAAGAGCTGCTGTGTGCAACAAGAACAGACAACCCAAAAGCTGGGAACTACCATGGGCAGTATCTTCAGTATGCTGCTAGCACCCAGCTCCATGCTTCAGCCTTTTAGACTGGTTCCTTCAGCGATTCCACTCCACTGTGCTGAATAGAATTCTCCAAATGACTGGGAGCCAGTTCTGACAACACTTACACAGAGCTTACCGGGGGCTGGAATCAACCCCAGGAAACGATAACCATCATATTCACATTCCTTTCTTGCAGGGAATTTGCACCTTTTTATGCTCTAATTGCTTCTGCGTGTCCAGGTAGCAGCAGCTGTCAGCCTGCTTTACCTACACACAACGGGAAAGGGACTTTTTTTTTCATTTGAATGCTGACCCTGCCAAAATTGTTCATATTTTCTCACCAGGTGGCTAAATTATTGCAAAGTACTTGACAAGGGACTCTCGATGGTCTTGTTACACCGTTCAGAGGCTGCAGCTGCACAGCTCCCCCATGGTACTTCTCAGTAGGAGCTGCTCTCACCTGCTTTGACCATCAGTCTCTAGTTGAAATTCCAGGTGTGTTTTAGACAGAAAACTGAGCAGGATGATTAGAAATATCAAATTACTCCTGTATGAGAAGGTGAGATAAACTTCATCTTCAGATGGAAATAACTGAGGAAGGATATGATGGAGATTTGCAGGGAGAGTTGCAAACAGAAGGGTAGAAATTTTAAAGGTAGTAAAAGAAAGTACTTTTTTTGCATAGCAACTAATCAAATCTTGGGGTAGAACACACTACCCCAAGATGTTGTAGATGCTAAAACCAAGCTATTAAATAACAAGATGTGGATATAAACTTCATCTCAGATTACTAGAAACCAGAAGGGTACAATGAAGAAGGAGCAAGGTATCGCTTGCTCTACTCATACCCACCTCACTTGAGCATCTGATGAGGGCCACCAGGGGAGACTCGATATGAGTCCACCCAAGCCTAGGATTGGATCTGGCTGGCTAAAACACTCAACAGTCTTTCTGAGGGACATCCACCTCCCCACTAAGCATCTGTGTGTTTCGTGGAAGCTGAAAATTTTAAACACCTGTGGTGTTCAGCAAACTATCTTCTGGTGGTGTCTTGCACGGGGGATGAATTTGCAGGAGAATGTTTAGCTGGCATTTGTTTCCTACCCTGTTTTGCTGGAGCCCAGTATCCATGGCTTTGGCAAGATCCCTAACAGATGTTGTAATAGAGGCTATGTGACTGCTGAAAGATGATCATTTACAAGACTTACATAATTCTACTTATTGAAACTATTCTTTTTAAATTGCCGATGGGACTAATCATCAGGTACACTGGAACTCCTTTGCCCTTCCCTTGCATTCTAAAGAGGCTCTAGAGAATGTGCAAACACCATTAACTTGTGAGAACAGTGCCAACAGCTCGCTAACATGAACGAGAACCAGGTGCAGAGTGTGCTCAGCTGTCAGTGTAGACCTGACCCCGATTCTCAGGTCTGAGAGGTTTACCTTGTGCCAGATAAACAGCATAAAGGGGATGAAGAGGCTGCTGCTAGAGAATTCCCCCCTGAGTAGGATGAAATTCTCTTGCCCTGAATCCTGAGGGTGTAAATTCAATGTTGACTCTGCAGCTTTTCTGCGTGTTAGGAATAGGAAGAGTCAAAAACTACAACCAGCCCCTTGACATCATGGCTTGAGCACAAGAAGGATGATGTAAAGTCTGAGTACCCAAATCAAATACAAATGACTGGGAATAGCTGGCAATTGCAGTCCTGCTGGATCACATCCTTCAATGCATAAGAACCCCCAAGGTTTTAGAAGTATCCAAGGACACCAATGGAAGGAATGCTGCAGGGAGGGTACAACCCCTCATAGTAATGCAGCACTGAATTAAACTTTTTACTTTGCAGTGTTCCAAGGGTTAAAAATGCAGCTCCTGGATGCACTTCTGTAGCTGAGAAGAATGATACTGTAAAGCAAAAAGCAGGCAGGGATATTAATTGTTAGAAAGATTTTTGTCTCTTTCTTCCCATGGGAAAAAAAGTGATCTGAGTGATGATCCTAAGGGGGAAAGTTCAGAGGAGGATGCTACCCTGCAGCACTCCTTCAAGCACTGTCTGGGCAGAGGATGGAGATGATTTTCCCAGCTGATCATAGAATCATTAAAGTTGGAAAAGATCTCTAAGGTCATCAAGTCCAACCATCAACCCAACACTACCGTGACCACTAAACCATGTCCTGAAGCACCATGTCCACATGTTTTTTGAACACCTCCAGGGATGGTGACTCCACCACCTCTCTGGGCAGCCTGTTCCAGTGCTGGAACAATGTATGGAATCCATGAAAAAGGTGGGGGTCTTGTGCCCTTAAAGACTCCAGGACCTGCTCCCTGACCATGTAGCTTCACTGCATCTGTCATATTAGTCATTCCCCACGTGTCAGCTGCTGCAACACTCATCGGGGAGGGTGGTCAGGACACTGTGTAGAAACAAGTTTAGAGCAACTCCAGGATGTGCTATCTGACTGGCTTTGACACAGCTGGGAGAGGATACTGGAAACGGTCATCTGCCCCTTCCAGCTACTGTGTTCTCCTCCCCCTGGGAGACCACTGACCATATCTCAGAGGCATTCACAGAACCCAAAGGGAGGAAAAGGCCCCTGCAGCATACTCATGGTGGGGGAAGAGATGGGCAGGAGGGTGAGCATGATTTACCCCATGGTCAATATACAGCTAAGAACACATGCTGCTGCCCTTGTCCTGCAACGGAACATCTCATAAATAGTCCAAACAACTCGAGTGAATGAGATGCCCAGCTTTTTTTTTTTGTTTCAGAGATGCTGGAACATACCTTGGCCATGATGGAAAGGTCTGTCTTTCTCCCGAGTCTTTTCAAAAACATTGTAGCTTCTGTTAAAGAAGAGGCAGATCTTTCATATTAACATTTTACAGTCTAAAAGACATTAATAAAGATACATCTTTTAAGTTAGAGTGTAGATCCCAAGCTATGAAGGTTAACAGGGCACAGCAGGGACACTGAGCCAGCATTATGGGCTGGGCTGGGGACCCCTGCAATTTAAAGCTTGCAAAAAGAATTTTTTTTCATTAAATACTTTTTAATCAAGACTAATACTCTTTTACATGTATGGTTTAAGGTGAATGAAAGCAACGTTAATTCTAAACCTCCTATATTTTGTTTAGAGTGTTTATTTTTCCCACCTTTATGCATCAGTTCTGCAGCACTGTTAATAGGAGTTGGTCTCTCTGGTTCTATTTCTACTCTCTATAATATGTTGTAATTAGGACAAGCATGACCCAAGAATATCCTTTTTAAGAACAAAAGATAGAATATCTGATACTTAGTTACAGGAAAATCGAGTATAAAGCAACTTACAAACTTCTGTAGGCTGGTGGTGGTTTTCAAGTGAAATTTTCTGTTTTTCTGAAGTTTGTACAAACCATAAAGATCAGGATGTATATACAAAGGGTTGCAGCTGACTAATTACATATCCTTCCTTGCAAACATGTTAAAAACACACTACTAAGTTTTCTGTCAAGCATTCAGGTGTAAGAAATGCCAGAAGTAAGACTGTCTGCAAGTCTTCTTTGAGAGTATGAATGCTACTACAATCTTTTGTATCTCTGAAGTTTAAGAAAATATTAATTTATAAAAATGTCTCTATTACTCAAACATACCTTTAAATTTGGATGTTTGGAGTGGTAATGGAAACCCTGCCAAAGCATTAAGCAGACAAACTTGTAAATCTTTACTGAATGATTTGATTAACATAATGTGTTGCACAGGAATCTCCTCCAGGAAATCATGAAGAAGGATGTTCTCTATTTCCTAGAATACAAATTCATGGAACTGCACATGATTGGTGTACTACAGATATTTACAGCAGCATGAAACATAATTGTATCAATAGTTTAAATGTAAATGTAAAGAAACCTTTATTTTTCTTCTAATTAAGTAATAGCTAAGCTACGCTTATTAGAAGAAGGAAAAAGATCCTAACAATAAGCATCATTTCCTGAATTAATTACTAGACACTACTTAATGACCTGATGTAAATAAGAAGCAAATTATTTTTATCAGGAAACTGCATATTTCTATGTAGAATGTCACTGAGAAATGCAGTAGTGTGCTCAAAGGAAAAATAACTCTCAGAACTTGGAAAACAGTTATCAGCTGGAATTTCAGTGACATAGCTTCATGCCAGAATCACAGACCACTTTCATAACAGCACACCCCATAGATATTAGGGACTTTTGACGGAATACGTAGCAGCAGAGTGGAAGTTATCACAAATTCCACTGGTTCCTTTCAAAATCCTGCACATTGCAAAATGGGCTGTCACAGAAGAAATCAAAGAAGCAGATTTCAGGTGTGAATGAAAACCCCACAGGAAGCAGCCAGCCCTCCTCCTCTCAGAACCACCAAAACGACCCGGCACGTGATCGCGGAATCATGACAGACAAGTGTGTCTACAGTACCTTGAACAGCCGCCTGTCATAGCTCTTGAACAGCTGGCACACATCTGTCAAGGACATCAGTGCTATTCTTCCAGGCTGCAGAGACCTCCAGAATGACATGATACAGCCTGCCACCTGTTGCACAAAGTCCTTTATGAATTTTCACTGGTTTTACACTTGTGAAATGTGAAGCGTAATTCGGCAAGACAACGCACAGAAGCACAGAAGCAAAAGAATGACTGTGGAGTTGGACTCTTTGCCTGGCCCCAACCTGGCAGGGCTCCAGCCTAAGTGTAAGCGCCCTGGGGCAACGAGCTGAACCTCACAAGGCCACATAAGAAGGAGGAGAGTGAAAAAGGACTGTGCCATGGAGATGTGGATACAATGAGAGATACGTGTCCGTGGCCTTCTGTTTTGTGCTGGGCTCAGACCTGTTGATGTGTCAGGAGTGCTCAGGATATGCCTACAAACTAAAATTCTCCGAGCAGGTTGTGTTAATTAAGAGTTCCTGAATAATTTGACTGAACTCTCCCTCTGTCTATAGATGATCACCTACCTTAGATCAAATCGTCAAGTAAATAAACTACACAGAAACAATTTTATCCTTAGAGCTGTTTGCTACCATCAGAATGAGTGTTATTAAAGCAGAGGCATACCTTGTCAAGCTCTTTCCTTCTCACCATATGTAAAATATCTTGACAATGGCTGTGGTACTCAGTGGCAAGGAGTACAACCTGGAGAAGGTAACCAAAAAGAGGGTACAAAAAGATCACGCAGGCAAAGAGCTAACTTGCTTGCTGACTGGAAACTTGAACCTACCATATCACAGGGGTATTTCTTCTCTATCTCTTGCTCCTCAGGATAGAATCTGCTGAATTCAGGCCAAGGGTCCTGATATTCTTTTTGTTCAGTCTTCAGATAAATGACAGATGAAGAACAGTGCAAAATCTCTCAATGTATCAGAATTATTTTGAGGAATAAATTAAAAAAAAATCACAATTACCTTGTCAGTTCTGTTAAAGTTATTAAGTTCTTTCTTTAAATTGTATAACATAATTTTTTAGTAAGATGTATTTCTTCAGAGGGATGCTTGTCTTTTGCATTTTTTTTAGAACATAAGGGTGGGTGAGGGAAGCAAGCAGGGCCAACTAAATACTTAAATCCTAAACAGTACAAGAATTTCTTTTCAAAACCAGTGAATATTTAAAGCTCTACATATCTTCCACATATATTTTCTATAGCACTCACGTTACAGTCTTAACCTTCTAAATAAGGCTGCAGATAGTTGTTTTTCCTGTTGGGATGGCAGCACATTTCTCATTAGCTGTCATTACATCCACTTCAGAACACTCATTACCACACCCGAGTGCTCCATAAAAATAAGACAGACATCCATTCTCTCCTTTTTTCCTCACTTTGGTCCAGGTAAGTTTGTTGCTCATGCTCTGCTGGCTGACTTCCAAGAGCCCTGGTGTCAAGCCATCCTAGGAGAGCACACTGATGGGAGAACTGCAACAGGTCAGCCTCCCATCTGCCCTTTTCGGTGAGCAGGGGTTGTGTTCTTTCTTTTTAACCATTTCCTAGTATTTATCATACCATTAAACTCAGCGTGTTGAAAAGACATCAGCTCTGCAGCATAAGGATCTGTTACTGCAAGCCTCAGGCAAGGAAGGTTTTGCCCCACTAACTCCCATAATATTCAAAACCTGGGCTGTCAGCCACAATTTCCGCTCTCAGCACAGCTTAAATTATTTGAGCTGACATTAAAACAACAAAAATATTTAGCTACCAGGTGAAACAGGAGTGGGGGAAGTAAGCATTTAGTGGGATTAACGCAGACAAATGTTATTTTGAAGAAGAGGATGGGTTAACTGTATTTCATCAGAGCACATTATAAGGCAGTTCTAATTAAACACACATAGACATTTTGTTATAAATCTAATGCATCTGAAACTCACTGTTCTATTTTTTTGGCTCTTGCTCATGTAACCAGCTGCATCTCCAGAACTGCAGGCGTTTCCACTGTGGTAAAATATACAATAACCAAAAATCCTTTTAAAAGCCCACCAATATATGCTGTATTTAGTAAGAAAATGAGCTCAAACTGCATTCAGTGCACTAAACTGGACTATTGTGTTTGGGAAACAAATCCTTCTCTCTTTCCTGTCGTTCAGCAGCCCTATGATTTTCTAATGAGTCTGAAGACCATTTTCTTAATTTAAAATAAAACTGAACCATTCATTATAGACAGCAAGGTATTAGCCATTTAACAGTGCAATACCTTCCAACTTCTTGCATCACAATCATGGGTTTGTAGTTGAAGTTCATTTGGAATGATAGTAGCAATTAGAAACATGCAAATAACGGTAGTATAATCATTCTTGTGCTTTGACTTCACAGCAACTACATTTTCTGCACCCTGTAACAGTTTAGCCAGTCATTTGTTTCTGACTTTCCCCCATTTACTTTGCAAACCTGCCATGATGTTCCATGTGGTCAGAATTCACCAGGACCTGCAAAGGCTTGGCCACTGGCTTTTGGCTGAAAAGCCAGGGATGCAGGCACAACAGGCTGCTTTCTTGCCTGACCACCTCCTCCCTCTCTCCCTACCTGTTTTGCTAAGGCTAATCCTGCAGGAGGGAGAGGCAATGTTGCTAGTAAAAGGGATGAGCTGTGAGAGCTGGATTCCTCCAGTCAAGCCCCCGTCTGCTGCTGACACCTGCTCGCTGTCTGTGAAGGCATTCCAAACCCCAGGGTCCTTGTGGACTCAGCTGTTTTGAAGGGTGACAGGCAAGGGCTTTGTAGAAAATGTGCTCCACTGGTGACTGTCAACACTCAGGTTGTCTAATCGGATCCTGGCTGCTGGCTTTCACTGCTGTGATGTATTATAAACCAGAGGACTACCATACGTCCTGAAGGGACAGAGGACAAAATGCAACAGCTTATCTGCTTGGAAACTCAAGCCACTGAAAATGCCTCCTCTCACTTCTCTGCTGTCCACAGGACTGACCCTTGCCACCTGAAAAATTACCTTTCCCTCTGGCACTGCTCTCTGCCGTGAAGGTGGTGCTCCAGCAAAACAACTAAACTGATACACATTGAGATTTGGTATGTTTAGTAACACCACTAACTCTTTCTCCAAGACATTTTAGAGCTGGTGGCTGGGCAAAGGGAAGAATGTGGAAGTAGAGGTGTTTCATAACGCTTCTTTCAAATGTCTCTTTCCAGCAGATTTCTAAAGCCTGTGAAACAAAATCGATGAATATTTTCCAGCTCCTGCTCTGCCTGAGAAGGCGGCCAGCTGTATCTGCTGCTGCCATGGCAACACGATCAGCACCACTCTCCTCCAGTGGGCTGGCTCCCACCCACAACGGGACAGCGAGGTGCGAGGAGGGTCCTCCCAAGCCCCAGCAGCCGGCCGGGAGCTCGATGACAATTAAGTGCAAACACCTATGGAAAGCTAACATCTATCAGCTCCCACTGTTAGCAAAGGGGGTTCAGACTCACCCGGTGCCCGTGGAAGCGCTCAGCTGCCAGGCAGAGCTGCCACTCCCCCTGGGTAAAGGACAGGGCACACAAAAGAGGAGGTGGATGGGAGAAGGAGAAAATGAGTGCCAGCAAAATCACTAGGGCTTACACCGCATCTCTTGCGGAATTTAGATGATGCTATAGGGTGGGAACCAGAGCTAAAATGGGAAAGACAACGGTGGAGACGACAAAAAGACTAACAGAGGAGGCGAATGGGAAGGGCAAAGGAAAAATGTAAAGAAGCAGGATGGCGAATGTGCATGCTGTTGACTGTCAGATTAGACTGAGATAGAAAAGCTAACTTGCTAGAATCCTATCAGGTTGGTTTTGTATTAAAAAGTCATGGGCTTGCTTCACTAGAAAGCAGAAGCCCAAACCTTCCCTATTACTAGAATCATAAAGTAACTCTTATGAAACCAAAATCTGCTGGTGTATTTTAACACTGCTGTACTCTGAACCAGAGCAAGTACTATTTTAGGGAGAGCCTGTCCTCAGAGCTCCCATAGAGGCCCTCCCTCCCTAGAGGGCACCCTATTGTAACACAAAGCAGTAAATACTGTATTCCCTTAAAACTCTGTAATACTTGTGGGGACCTCATTGATTCCAGCTGTGTTTACTTACACTGCTTTCATAATATCAGCAGCAGACCTGTGGCACACACATCTTCAAAAACCCCAAGGTCTCTAAATGAACCAACTCACAGAGCCAACGGATACAGCCAAGGCCCTGCCGACTATCAGGAGGAAAATGCCTTCTCTTTAGTCAAAGACAAAACGTTATTATCTTACTGCCATTTCTGTGACACCAACAACCACGGCTCCCAGCCTGCCAGATCCTTCACAAGCCTAGTTCCTCACTACCAATAACATATCAATTGTCAATTATCTCAATATGGTCAAGCAATACTCTTTCCAGTAATGAGAGTGGATCACAGCTTTGAAACCATCCCTTTCTTCACCAACCCGCAGGCTGGGTGGGTGTCTTGGTCTCTCAACTGGGGTCCTGACTTCACCTACCCCTCAGGGAGTACAACAGGAAAAGCATCTGTATCTTGGACTCTGTTCAGGCATGGGAGAGAGCAATAATTACCTAGGACACGTAAAATATCCCCACTGCAATGATATGATTACTTCAGTGAGAAAAAAAAAATACTCTTTCACAAGTAGGAAAGTGTTGAAGTTTTCATTACTTTTCTTCTAAATTTCAATACTCTAATTTAAAAAAAACTATAGTTTGTTGTGGCTGGTTTCATCAACTTCACTGAATCATGAAAAATTAATTCTGATTTTGAAAAGTGCTGAACACTACTGAGAGGACAGTAAAGATCAAATGTTCCCTTGATATGTTCATATTTATTTGCAAAGAATGTACAAAACTCATTACAGGTGGAAACAAACTCAATTACTTTGCAGAAGCTTCTGCTTATTTTGCATGTGACCTAATTATTTCTTTCGGAATTGTGCTACTCATGCTTCTCTGTCTGTGTTTTGTGCTTTTCTATTGCTTTTTCTCCATTTTTTCTTGCTGTCCTTCACCACAAAAGCAATTGTGACACCCAGGTGTTGCAGGGCATGTGTGTTGGCTTGGGGCAGGCATGTGTGGCTGCATTTAGGGTGGAAGCTGTTCTAATTTCATTTGCCTGGCTTTAAACAACAGTTTAATGACTTCCTCTTTAACTGTCTTAAATGAAAGAAGCATTGGACAATGTAATTTTGTAGTTAAGAGACTCTTCTATTGCAATTAGACAGGTGATCTTTGTCTGAATATGGTCTGTATGTTTTGATTTTTCATTTTGATCTGAAAAGTCATCCCAATAAATATATCAAGATCACTAGCTGGCTGGTTGATATTAGCCCTTTGCCCGGAGTACACCACCTTTTCCTTGGTTTGACCAAGTTAAAGACATTTTTTTAGCCATAGGTGTCCAGGCAGGTGCCTCTGGCAGCTGGTGGGGGAGGAGGAGACCTGCAGCCAGTGCAGCAGCTCCCCTATGGTTAAGGATGGGCTACAGCATGTTCCCCAGCCCATCAGACAATATGGTTCATTTCCATGAGGAGGGACAAGGACACAAGATTTCCCTGAAGAAGACAGACCATCAGAGACTCAGCCAGAGACCTACAATGTTCCTTGAACAGTGGCCAAGACCTTTCCTCGTTACAGATGTCAAACCTAAGGCCTGTTCTGGTTATACTGGGTACACGGGTAGTGAGGGATATCACTTCTGTAGGGGTCTCATGGGAAACAAGTCTTGGGTTGCCTATGAATAATTTGTTTGGTCTCACAACAACCGACTGCCACCTGATCATCTGTAGAACCTGATCTTTTGTCCTGTCTCCTTCTTTTTGGTTGCCACTTTATGGACTTCTGCAACATTACTCTGCTGTAAAACCCATGGAGAAAGGCAATAAACCTATGGGCATAACTTTTTCATGCTCCTGTACAGCATGCAATCAATTCAGTGACTATAATATAAAATATCACAGACAGTGAAACAGTTTTATCACCACCAGAATATTTGGGTGCTTAATAGGCTGATTTGTATCCCTCTAACATTGACGCTATAGAAAAACACTATATCTCTGTATTAAAGAATGGAAATCAAAGTACAGAATTTATCCACAAACATAAAAATAATGTACAAGTCTGTAGGAGAGTGGCAACATGAACCCGGTCTCTGAAGCCCAAGGCTTAGGCTGCACCTATTTTTCTTCTCCTGTGCATTTAAAAGGAGTGTAAAACTGTCACAGAATGGCAGCATTTTCCTTCCTTTTTTTTTCTGGGGAGAAACACAAGCCTGTGGTTTAGCTCAAACCATGAGCTTAACTGTCAGAACTCTTCCTCTTTTGCCCACAACGGGACTGTCCTCATATCCACACTCTACTCCATCAAAGTGTCTTACATTCATCAATTATTTTTTGACTTCTAATTTCTGTAACCATTCTATACTCGTCTTACACATTTTCTCATTGCTGATCCCTTATAAAAGGTGATTTTAAAATCTGAAATTTTAAAAATAAATGAAGGAAGTATTTTCAAAGTAGTATGCTTCATTGTTTCAGGTAGAAAAAAATCCCAAAAAACCAACAGATTACATGATTGCATGTAGGACTCTTCAAAGCAGTGCAATTATTTATACTTTAACACTTCTCTTCAGCCTACTGTTTAATAAAGATGTTACAATCTCATGAAGCAATTTCAATAGGTTTATTTGAGCTGCAGGTTAGAGTATCAATACGTTAAGCTCTTCTTTGAGCTTTGGCAAGAGGTCCTTCTCTTAAGATCTAGATGGCAAAATTGGCCAATTCAAGGAAGCCCGAGTAGACAGGGCATGTTTTCAAAAGGGAGCTTCTCTATTAGAGCACACCACTTTTACAGTGTTTTTATAAAACACTTTTATAGTGTGCATAATAATAAGAAAAAATATAATACTGTTGCCAATGTTCAACAGATGATTTACAGAATTTATGTACAGACAATATATAGTGTCATGGATATTTTATGATTGAAACATTTTAAAAAACGAACCTGTAATAATTTTTTTCAGATAGAAGACAGCAATAACGTGCATATGAGGAAGAATTCTTCTTGATAGCTATTCCAGCATAATGATATCTAGATAATAAAAAAAAAAAAAAAAAAAACCCAATAAACTGACAACCATATGATTTTCAGCAAATCAGCACATAATTCATATTCCTCCTTTGAAAGCAGATGAACATTTTATTTAAATAAAAGACCAAGTAAA